GCTCCCTTCGTCTCTTACTTTCACTTTCTCTGCGTAAACGTGAACTTTTTAGTGATTCTGGTTGGGAGTCTATCTCTAATTCTGTTATCTACTGGCCCAGTCTGGCCCGGGGGATGGATGCCATCTGTAATCCATTTATCAGAGCCGGCCGCTGGGCCTTCTTCCAAATGACAGCTGGCCTTTAGCAATCTCATTATAAGGAGCACCAGGATATAGTATGGAAATATGGGGGGCAGGGGGCTGCTGGGCTGCGAGGGACGGGCCCGGAGCACAATGGGGACGTGTGGACGAGTCGCGTTTATGAAGCCACTCGGAGAGCCGGTCAGGAATCAGATAAACGCTGCAGCAGAGGAGCTCCTGAACGCATCAGACGCGCTGAAATCGTCGCCTCTTGTCAGTTTAACGAGGCGAGACCAGTTCGAGCTCCGCCGGACGACTCCGTCAGGTTTTCTCCACCTGGGACGGGTTGAGGTCGCTGATTTACCCCCAACAGAGGGAGGCTGTCCCACACTGACCAGAACCCAGAGTGGACTTCTGGTGCTGAGTTCAGATCAGATGTCTGCAGCTCAGATCGTCACATGTTTGGAAACGGTTTAGAGAATAAAATGTGGATATTTATGAAGATATTTGTGAGATTTAAATAAGAAATGACCCGTTGACCCGCTTTCAGCACATTTTTTGTTTTATTGCACATTTTGGTTCCGTAAGTTGGAAAACTTGTCGTTTCATATGTTTAGAAAATAAAAACCTGAAGGTGAGACGTTCTCGGCTCCACGACCAGCAGATTTATGCAGATTAATATAAGTGAAGACTTTATTCATCCTGAAGGAGATTCTAGTGTCAGATGTTACTCAGAAAAACCGACATCACAGAAGAAATGCAGCCTAAAGAGTAGAGAAGAAGCAAGATATAAGTACGATAAAATACTGACATGAAATAATTTAAAGCTGGAATAGAACAGTAGAAAGTAAAGCTTTCAATTAGACTGAGATGATAAATA